CTGCTCTCGTCTGTTTTCCAGGCGAGGTGCAGCTCAACTCGAACACGGCCTTTGTCTCGATTCTAGCGTCAGTGGGAGGAACTTCACCGAGCACTCCGCTGTTTTTGCGGTCGGTAGATCTTTTAGAACTGCAGTTCAAAGGTAACTCATGAGGTGAATATATATGAACCCAGGTAGCAGTTTCTCTTTAGGATTGAGAGGAGATGCAGGAAGATAATAAACAGACAGGACTGAAAAATAGTCAAATAAAAACAAGTTAGTTTTTGTACCTAGTGGTTGCAACAGACACCATTGAAGGTAATCAGAAGTGAGGAACAGAAAATGAAATAATTATTTTAATGTTTAGAGCAGCATGAGAGGCTGCAGGTATGGGCTTAAATAAGGGCCATAATGTTTGTGTAGTTAAAAGAAAAATTTGAAATCGAAAATATGTAAACTGAAAGCAAAAGTCACATTTTTAGAGTGAACTTTGAAAAAGAAAGCCTTGGATTTAAAAAAAAATCAAACGTTTGGAATATTTGTAAGAACTTAAACCCCAATGGTATTTTTATTTTGAACTTTTCTGAGTAAATTTTACTAAAAAAAATTGTCAGTAATTTATTTTTCAATTATTATTATTTTTTAAATCCAGTCAGTCTCAGATTACATTTTTTCACATTCAGATCTTTTTAATTAATGTACAAAAAATTTCTTCAGGTTCAGATTTTTCTTTCAGCTTCAGATTTATTTTTTTCACTTTCGGATCTGTATTTTTCAGTTACAGACTTCTGGCCCTGTTTTGGCCTGGTGGGCGTGGCTACACAGAGAGGGGCGGGGAATCATGAGTGACAGCAGGCCGCTAGAGGCTGAAGACGGTCCATTTTTCATGTTACCTTCAGAAAACCTGGGAATAAACAAAATTTATCAAACACCTCCTGCACTGTATTATTTGATAATGGTTGGAGAACATGTCATGCATAACTCATAAACTCAGTTACTAAACCTCTTTCAGTCAGTAATGTGTACAAATTACGCCGTGACTGATCAATTATGAGAAGTTTTCCCAACCACTATGTGAGAAGTGGTCATTTCCCATGCTCTCAAAGTAGCGTGCGTGGGTGCTGCTGTTGTGCCTCAGTGAACGATGGCGTCGTCTTCCGACAACACTGCTGGCGCGAACAATCAGGTGAGTGTTTAAGTTTGGAAAAGTTACACTGCAGTCTGTGAATACTAAGGATTTACGAAGTGGCTATTGTTATGGTTTAAAGTAAGATTAATTTTAAGCTATTCTGTTTTTTTATTTAATTTTTTTGGTGAAATGCTACAATAACTCAACAGAAACGCTTCGCTATCATTTTCGGCTGAAACTTACGTCCAAGTTGATCTGTAAGCATGGAGAACAACAAAGTTAGTGAAGTAACGTCAAATTCTTTCTATCTAATTTAGGAGCAGCTAAAAAGAGAGATGCTTCAGCGACTACTGCAAAAAGTTTCCCAGGTCATGCACAGACAACCCCTCGATGTGGACTATTTGCAGTTTGTTATTGACCATGAGCTAGTCCTTTTAAGATCTTTGTCCGATCAGGTAGAGATCCCTCAAAGTATTATGAATGCTTTGATAGAGCTGTCAACTGTGCTCAGTATGGAGGACGTCAATGAACAAACCCCCTCTCAGATGTCAGTGTCAGAAGGAAAACTGGGACGGCCAAATTACAATGTATCTCCTGTACAGCTCCAGACACTGACAGAAATGTTCTTATCAATACCCCAAATTGCAAAACTTCTTGGAATATCTGTGAGGACAGTGAAACGTCGTATGCATGAATATGGCATTTCCATAAAGCAGTGCTACAGTAGAACAAGTGATGAAGAGCTGGACAATTTAGTAAGATCTATAAAGACAAGAACACCTCATGTTGGATACAGGATGATGAAAGGGTTGCTTCAAGCCATGGGCCACCATGTACAGTGGAAGAGAGTGTACTCGTCGATGCACCGTGTGGACTCTGCTGGTATTTTCTCAAGAATGACAAGGCTGGGATTTGTGGCCCGAAGGACATATTCAGTGCAAGGTCCTCTTTACTTGATGCATATAGACACAAATCATAAACTAATAAGGTAGGATGATGCTGGTTTATGATCTAATAATGTCTGACAATACTGCTAAATACTGAATTATATTATGTTTTATACATGTTAATACCCTAGTTGTTGTTTTTTGTTGTTCTTCTTACAGATTTGGCCTGGTGATATTCGGAGGGATAGATGGGTACTCAAGAAAGGTTATTTTTCTCTTTCAAAATTGAGCTGAATGAGATGTTAATTGAAATGTGAAATACTGGTGTTTTGGTCTACCATAAAACTTACCATATACTGTAATATAGAGATCCTTCTGTATAACAAAATTGTCCTAATATGTTTAGGTTTGTCAGTATTTGGTGACTATAAATGCTTGATAAAGTAATTCTTCAAGTTGCTAAATAGATTTTTTTTTACCCTTTGCATTTGGGTGAATGGTTGATTACAACTACTGCTTCATCTCAAGGCAGCTTGCTACCTTGGGAATTATGTAGCTTGCTTTTTTTCTTGTCCTTATAAATGTAAGATAAATGTACCAAGCTACAAAACCTGATAAACATGTTTCTATCTTTAATTATAGTAACTTGACTTGACAAAGTTTCCACTTAATGAAATTTACATCTCTAGATCATGTACCTGGGTGCTGCTGCTAACAACAGAGCAACAACTGCACTTGCTTTCTTCTTGGAGGCTGTACAAAAGTATGGCTTTCCATTGAGGTAAAATCTACACAAAATTAATTTTCACAATGATTGTACTGATCTGTAAATATGATTTTTCCCTTGATTAGCAGTGTAATTATTTTGGCATGCAATATGTAAACTATACATGATCAATTGTTTAGAAATCCCCATACTCTTGTTTAAATGGTTCAGACATTTAGAATTCTTGAAAGGTGTGTTTCATACAGAGCTGCACACTGTTGAAAAACCAAAACAATAAACTTCTAATAACCAGTCTAAAGTAAAATTATATTAAAAACACAAAGGCTGCAATAAATTTTAAGAGTGACATTTTTTTTTTAGATTTCAAAACATTGTACTGTCAATGTTTAATTTTGTTTCAGAGTTCGAGGGGATCAAGGGGTGGAAAATGTTGGAATAGCAAGATGCATGTTCACTATCCGGGGCTGTGGAAGAGGAAGTTTTCTGTCAGGCAAGAGTGTTCACAACCAAAGGTATGTGTAGTATTTTTATAAATGTCCCATGGAAATAATAAGAAAAAATTTCATATATATTTTTCAATTCAGTGAATTTTTGTGTACAATTTTGAAAACGTTGGCATATTTTCATGTTGAACAGAATAGAGCGCTTGTGGCGAGATGTGTGGATGGCTGTTTCAAGCGTGCACTATGAAACCCTTCACAACCTCGAGGATGAAGGCCTTCTGGATCCATCTGATAGTGTCCACATGTTTTGTGCCCAACATACATTTCTTCCACGTCTGCAGAGGGATCTGGATGTCTTTAGACAGGGTTGGGATAACCACCCTCTAAGGACAGAGAGCAATCTGTCCCCACAACAACTGTGGACACTGGGACTCCACCAGAATCCAGTTGATGCTCCAGACACAGTGGAGGTACTAAAACAAATCTAAATTATACAACCACTCTTTAATCATGTTTCAAAAAGTGCACTTGGAGATGTTGAAACAAACACGATGTGCTATCACAGCAGACTGTCAGCTTTAAGTTGAGGGTATTTGCATCCAAATCAGTTAAAAGTTGTAGGCGTTACAACAGTCTGCATGTGTGCCCCCCACTTGTTAAGTTACCAAAAGTAACGAGACAGAACATTAATCATTACTGAAACTGGAACGCAGAGACATCAGATGTTGGGCTTCATCCCTGCTGATGCTCTGTCAGGCCTCTTACTGCAACAGTCTTAAATTCCAGCTATTATTGAGGCATTTCCCCTTCGGTTTTGTCTTCAGCAATGAAATGCTGCTCAGTCAGATTCAGGTCAAGTGATTGACTTGGCCACTGCATAACACTCCACTTCTGTCCTTTAAGAACTATTTGGTTTCTTCTGCAGAATGCTTTGAGTGATTGTCCATCTGAACCGTCAAGTGCTGCTTAATGAGTTTTGAAGCATTTGGCTGAATATGAGAAGATATATTGCCCAAAACACTTCAAAATTTATCCTGCTGTTTTTGTCAGGAGTTGCTTAACTAAATACAAGAACATCACATCCCTGGCCATGGAACATCAGAGAAGCCAATTGTCCCATTACTTTTGGTCCCTTAAGTGGAAGGCACATATGAAAACAGTTCAAATACCTCTGCAGTTATAGCCAATCGTGTAGTTTCCTTTCAAATCCATTGTGTTGTTGTAAAGAGCCAAAAATAGAATTGCCATGTTCCAATATTTATGGAGCTGTTTGTCTTGAATTTCCCAACACTTGTTTTTGGATTGTCATTTGAAATATCAGATTTTTTTAAATCATCACAGGAAATCGAGGATGCGTACTTGGATGTCAACTCTATTGGTGAGCTGGATAGTAGCAATCCTGGAGTGATTCTTCCATCTGTTGAATGTCCTCTATCTGAGGAGGACATGGCAAGACTAAGAGACACTATCAATGTAACAAGGCCCTCTCAGTCACATGGTCGAGACATTTATTTGGATGTACTTAACTTTGTACTAACTCACTGTTCCTAGATGGAACCATTTTTATTTTGACTTTTCAACCCAGAGAAGGTTCATGAATTGCTCAGACTTTTATTTGATGTAAAATGAACCTGCCAGGATATTTTTATGTGAACACTCAAACATCACATTACAAACTATTTTTTTCCCTCTGGCATATTTTTCAACTGTAAAACTGTACGTTTTTGGTGTGCTTCATGCAACTCATTAAAGAACTCTGGCTGTCAATCTCCCAACTTTGAAATGTGCTTCCTGAACATTAAATAGAAGGAGCAGCATTTTGATTTACACTTCAACACTATTGCTTTACACATTGTTAAATTCCTGGCCAAGATGAAAAGCCTCCAGCAGAACCATTCTGAATTGACTATAGGACTTCATGTGTTTCACAGGCAGGACAATGGTCTTAGCACAGGATGACACAACAGGATAGCAGATGCTGTGATTTCCAAAGTCAGCTTCACAGTTGTGATTAAATTTGACCACCACAGCAAAGTCCTTCTTTTCTGAGGGGAGGAGAGGAACGTGGCCTTGACCGGTGATCCATTGCAGAAACCTGGCAGGTGTGATAGATCTTGGGCCATCTTCATCAGCTAGATGTTCTGGACCTTCTGTTAAGATAAGAGTAAATTTTAAGACGTTTTGAAGCACCCTTGCCCTTTGGAGAAAAAATATCTAAATATTTGAATTCGAGAGAAGTGTAACTTTTGTCACAAAATCCTTAGAATATAATTTTGAAATTTGACAACTGTAAACTAGACAAAAATAACAATTTACCTTCTGATTCATAAAGCAAGTCCTGAATGAAGTTAACCAGGTCCAGCTCAACCTGATGCTTGGAGGTTCCCTTCTCACTCAGCTGAGGGTGAATGGATGCCATGACAAACTCAGCATTAACCTATGATGATATTAGAAAGCAAAGCAAGCCAACGGCTTGATTTCTTCAGGGTTGCAAAAAGATACTGTATTGACACACACACACACACACACATATATATATATATACATATATATATATTGTACACACACACACACACACACACACACATACACATACATATATATATATATATATATATATTGTACACACACACACACACACACACACACATATATATATATATATATATATATATATATATATATATAGTACACACACACACACATACACATACATATATATATATATATATATATATGTGTGTGTGTGTGTACAATATATATATGTATATATATATATATATATATATATATATTGTACACACACACACACACACACATATATATATATATATATATATATATATAGTACACACACACACACACATACATATATATATATGTGTGTGTGTGTACTATATATATATATATATATATATATATATATATATATATATATATATATATATATATATATATATATATAATGTACACACACACACATAGTGGCTTGCAAAATTATTCGGCCCCCTAGAACTTTTCCACATTTTGTCACATTACAGCCACAAACATGAATCTATTTTATTGGAATTCAACATAAAAGACCAATACAAAGTGGTGAACAATTGAGAATTGTAAGGAAATGCATCCAGGATTTCAAACATTTTTTACAAATAAATAACTGAAAAGTGTGCTGCGTGTAATTATTCAGCCCCCTCAGTCAATACTTCTTAGTAACACCTTTTGCTGCAATTACAGCTCCCAGTCTTTAAGGGCATTTTTCTACCAGCTTTGCACGTCTACAGACTGACATTCTTGCTAATTCTCCTTTGCCAAACAGCTCCAGCTCAGTCAGATTAGATAGACAGCGTTTGTGAACAGCAGTTTTCAGATCTTGCCACAGATTCTGGATTGGATTTAGCTCTGGACTTTGACTGGACCGTTCTAACACATGGATATGTTTTGTTTTTCTATTGTTGCCCTGGCTTTACTGTATGTTTAGCAATCATCAGGAAATGTCTATGGGCAACTGACTACACTGAGGCCAAACGGGGTTGAATAATTACACACGCCCCACTTTTCAGTTACCATAAATCCTCCAATACAGGCCGGTATTTAATTAAAAGCCGGTAATTTTGGCCGGTGTCGGAGTCAGCGGAGGTGAATAATGGCCGGTCTCTTATTGTGGCCGGGTGGAATGTGGTAACAAGCAAGTATGAGCGTCTCAGCGGCAGGGATATAATCCCCAAATCAACCAGCAGGAGGCAGTAGAGGTTCACGCAGACCTTTATGAGGCTTTTTCTTCAACGCTTTGTAACGCTACAGACACGATCCTCTATCACGCTCCTACCACACAGAGTCACGGTGTCAGTTAACCATGCTAATTCAACCCGCTCCACAGAACACACATCACCTTCCCTGTGGCTTACATAACACTCACACAACACGCAAATCAACACATAGGAACTAGCAGAACGATAGGAAACACATATAACACAATACCCAGAATGCACCTGGCTTACAACCCCAGCCAGGTCATTACACTATCAAGTTCAAAGAGAACGTGCTGATTATGCTGCAGAACACTCTGGAGAGCAGCAGTAGGGGGTGTATGAACTAGTCAACTTCACTATAGTGACTTTTTATGCCTGTCGTCGACTAGTCGCGGTCACGTGATAATGACCGGCAAGATGCAGCCCTCGGAAAAGACAGCAGCCTGCTATCAGCAGGTGACAAGCTCCTGCGCTCGGGGGGGGGGGGGCAACGCGCTGTGCCAGACCGTAGGTACTGACACGCGATCGTTCATGTCGGTTCATTTCCTTTAATGTTTTCTGTCTTTTATTTGCGCCTGATGTGTATCGCTGCTGTGGAGTGGGGCGCATCACCTTGTCCTCCGACGCACCGATCACTGATACGGCCGCCAAACAGTGAGCGCTCCGCTGTTTTTGCGGTCGGTAGATTTTTTAGAGCTGCAGTTCAAAGGTAACTCATGAGGTGAATATAAATGAACGCAGGTAGCAGTTTCTCTTTAGGATTGAGAGGAGATGCAGGAAGATAATAAACAGACAGGACAGAAAAATAGTCAAATAAAAACAAGTTAGTTTTTGTACCTGGTGGTTGCAACAAACAGACACCATTGAAGGTCATCAGAAGTGAGGAACAGAAAATGAAATAATTATTTTAATGTTTAGAGCAGCAGGAACTCCGAGAGGCTGCAGGCGCATCAATGAGTTTGCGGCCGCTGCGCGGGGGGAGAGGGCTGAAGCAGGGGGAGGGGGGAGATGACTGAAGCAGAAACTACCGTTGTTAAAAGAAATGTGTTTAACTTTGAAAATGTGGGCGCAATTTTAATTGTCAAAAACTCCAGCGAACTATTAGTTCATTTTTCTCAAATAGAAATTGAGGCCTGCCTCTAATTCTGCCCCTCCTTCCAATAAAGGCCTGGAGCTTGATGAGCTTGAGTCAAATACAGGCCCGGGCCTGTATTAGAGGATTTACGGTATTTGTAAAACATGTTTGGAATCATGTATGATTTTTGATCCACTTCTATAATGTACACCACTTTGTGTAGGTGTTTCATGCGGAATTCCAATAAAATAGATTCATGTTTGTGTCTGTAATGTAACAAAATGTGTAAATGTATGTAATACCTTTATGTAAAACTGTGAAAATACGTTTGTACTCACTTTCACATCTCCCCCAAGGACGAAGAGAGGCTGGCATATTTCTGGGTACTGCTTAATCAGCAGGTGGAGGCCATACAGCTGCAAACCCTCCTTGAGTTGTTCCAACATTGGCTGCAGTCTAAGCACAGCATGGAGTGTAATGGCTCTGTGGGGACAAAAAAGGAGATTAAACAACATCTTCAGATGCTATTTTTCTTACATTTATATAGAGAAACCATAACATGTTACAGCATACCGGACAATCGGTTCCTTGTTTTGAACCGAGATGGCTCCAGTGAATCCACAGTTTAAAATCTCATCAGTAAGGCTCTGAAGTGACTGCTCAGTTGAACATTCCACCTAAAAGTAATTTTACAAAATAACCAAAAAGTATTTTATATTTAACAGATGAAATTATATTTATGTAAAAGCTGCAATGTGTACTAAGGCAATATTTTTAGTAGTTATACAGCACCTGGTCAATCAGTAACCGCAACTGTGAATCTGCCACAGTATTTTTATCCAGCTGTGTTGGGTTGATCTGCCCATTGCAGAGGTAACTGTAAGCCCACTGGCTGAAAAATGTAGGGGCAGGACCTCCTTGTGCCAAACTGACGGCCAGAATCTCACCAACAGTCCTACTTATACAAACAGCATGAGTGTATTGCTTTTAGTATAATGCATGACAGTTTTCCCTTACATTAAAATAAACATACCTGAATAGTCCGCTGTCAAAGTCAGTAAGCGAATAGCGTGGACTTTTTTGGTGTGGTGGTCCTTCAAAGAAACGAGTCTCGATTCCAGCGACCATTTCTATTGAGAGAAGAATTTTATGAATTATCCGATGTCAAACATTCATTTAGAGCTGGGTGAAAAGATTTTTTTCATATCACAATATTTTGTTTTCACTTGAGGCTATATATATATACATATACATATATATATATATACATATACGTATATATATATACATATACATATATATATATACATATACATATATATATATATATATATATATATACACATACACATATATATACATATATACATATACATATACATATATACATATATATATATACATATATACATATATATATACATATATATATATATATATATATATATATATATATATATATATATACACACATATACATATATATATATATATATATATACATATATATATACATATATATATATATATATATATATATATATATATATATATATATATGTATATATGTAAATATATATATATCATGATATATTTCAGTGTTTGTGAAATTTAAATGTGATGTTGCCCCGAAATATGTGAAATCAAGAGAAGCTTGTTTTGATTAAAATTTTTATTTCCTGTCATAGGCTTAACATGACAGATGTACTGAAGGAACATAATACATCTGTTCCAGATATTTAAAAAAGGTACATATTATGATTTAATAAAAGTCTAGGTTAAACCTATCAAGATTCAAAAGAGAATTCCATTCAAAAAAGAAATCATAGTATACAGAAGGTTGTACTTGACAAAACAATATTGACACCTTTTATCAACACCAAACCAATAAGCTCATAACACATCATAGTCACATCACAGCCATTCTATGGTTCAAAAAACTGACAATTTTCCTTTTGGTGTTTTGGTTTTCGACCTTGGTTTTCTCATTTTTGGTTTCGGCCAAGAACTTTCATATCAGTCCATCCCAAATGATAAACATGATTGATTTATAGTTTAGTAAAGGAGAAATCGAGTCATATTTACAACACAACTGGAGCAGAGTTCACTTAGAAGATAAAATATATATTACAGAAGTATAAAATTTAGGGATTGGTCATTTCTTCAACATAAATAATATGGATGGAAAAGTAATTGATCTTTTTAAATTTACCTGTGAGAAATTCTTTTCGAAGGGCACCAGTGTCGATTCCTGCTTCCCCAAAGAAGGACACCTTCAACATGGCAGTGGGTGAATTTTTTTTTTGACGTTGCCACTGCAGAAGGCCTCTCTCCAGAATGTTTGTTCTTGAAATAAGGATGCTGAACTGCTTCTCCACATCAACTCTTTGACAAATAGCATCCAATACATCATCAACACTAAAAGAATCCATAAATGAAAGAATAAACAATCTATTCAGTTAAGAGTTCAGAGTATTAAATCTGTGTGTGTGATGTTTTTTACCTTTTCATATGCTCCTCTTCTATTTTGTTCTCCTCAATTTCATCCATGTCTGTTACATTTTTGCTTCTAATAAACATACAGAAAAAGTTGGTGTGTCAATGTGAAATTCTCAAGATGTTATATCCTATATGTAATTTAAAAAGCCCTGCTTTTTCAACTACCTTTCTCCACATGTGCTTGCATGGATTTCAAGGAAATAAGGAGCAAATTTCAAGTTACAGATAGGACACTGAAGCTTCTACAACAGAAATGAGAGTTAAAATATTGAATAGAGTTCCAGTGTAGTTATGATAATGTTCTATACTCATTTCTATTAAGATATTACTTCTTCATCCAATTTCTCTGTGTTGGTGTGCTCTTCAGATGGTTGCACGGACGCTATTTGGACCTCGGTTTGACATGCCTATCATAATTAATAGACATATAACATTAATGATTAAGATAAAAAAAAGTGGGACAATTATTTTATTGCCATTTCAATGCAATACAATTTCATTAAAATAAATGCATATATTGTTCTATGATGTATGTACCTCTGTGTCCTCAGCTGAAGATCCAGACTCTGTGCACTCCTGCACATGAAGAGCCAAAATGTGCAATGGCAGACTTACTTTGCATGTTTGGCATTGTGCTTTGGGCATATTTTTAAATTCAACTGCATCAGGAGGTAACGGAGTAAGGTCAAATTCTTGCTGTAAAGGTACTATATACAGCAAGTTTTTCCCATTTCCTGTCATACTGCGTATTAAGGTCCCTGTGTAACCTTCAGAATCAGGAGGCACCAGTGTCAGTTTCCTTTTTCCCTGACCGCCTGAAAAAAGTAGAGCCCAGATCAAGTTCACATAGATGCACATTATGGGACTATCATGTAATAAACATTTGTTACCCCTACCTGTAGCCTTGTAGAGCAGCCATCCTCCAGTCAGACCCTGCATTTTAGGATATTCACTTTGAAGAAGTCCAAATAACTGCAGAAAAAGATCAATATTGTGATGCCTGCAGACTTGATGATCTTTACAGAGATATATAAATCTGAAGATCTAAATATTTATTAATTTAACCTCTTCATGGTTCATGTCCCTGGTCATTGTGAGATGTCTTTTACCCAGTCCTGCCTGGGCAAGCTGAAATTCCTCAGAGGAGGTAGGTGTTGTTTCTGCATTACAGTTCAGCAAGTATACATAGAAACTGAAAGGTTTCCATGCTTTAAAAGGTGGTGTCACAGGGATCCTTGGATTATGCATTTTTCGTTTTCCAAGAAAACTTTTTTTCCCAAAGAAACCAGGGAAAGATCTGAACGGAATTAGAAAAATACATGAAAATGACAGCACAGTGATAACACACAAAAAAGGTTAAAAACTTTTTAAATTATTTAGTTTCATATTTAATCTAAAACCTTGCCATCTCTTGATTTACAGAGGGAGGTCCCTGTTCCTGCCTTACTCCCTGTGCTGCCTGGTGCTGTCCCTGAGAAAGATTCTGAGTGAGCACAGTAATAAGATTCTGTGCAGCGGCTTCCACTGTAGAACTGTAGTTCACATTCTAAGAAACACATATATTAAAAAAATTAACAGGTAAAACATGACAGAAATTATGAACTATGTTAAACGTAGGGATGCACCAATACCGGTATCAGGTATCGGCCTCAATACCACATTTTCTAAAGTACTCGTACTTGTTAAAACTCCCCCGATACCGGGAACCGATGCCATGGTTTGAGAAATGTCTGTTTGAGCGGCGTGTGAGGGGTTAATCACAAAGTTTTTTTTCTCTAAATAATTATTTGTTCTATAATATGTTGCATACAACATGCTTTAGTTTTCATTTTAAATAAATGTTCTTAATTCCATACTAGTCCCTTGTTTTTCTGTAAAATCATATGACTATGTGACTGTAACCTGTAAATTTAAATCATGTTTTTATAAAGTACTCGGTATCTGCATCGGCTAGTACTGAAATGCAAGTACTCGTAATCGTTTTACAAAAAGTGGTATCGGTGCATCAATAATTAAGCACAAATAAGTATGCATCAGCATGATAGAGTATAATGCTAGCACGAACAAAAATCTGCATTATATACAGGTTGGATCTATATGAAACAGCCAATAATGACTGGAGCACCAATAACAACTTCTTGCCACTGCAGTTCTCTCTCTCTCTGTTATGTAAGAAATTGTTAACTCCATTAGTAGTGCCTTTATTACTGTATTTACTTAAACATGACACATAGTTTAGGGAAGATTTTGCAGTTACTTATGTCATTTCGACTGGAATCATTCAGCGGCCTAATACTTGGGGGGAAAAAGGCCTTCTGAAAAAGATCTTACTTTTTGCTTTACACCATCATAATATTATTGCTTTTTATCTAAAACACACGCATAAGTTTATTGTAGGAAAAACCGTGAAAATTTAACACGTTCCCCACCTTTTTCCCTCGTGATAATTTGTAGCATAGCAAAGGCGTACCATCACTGAGTAATAACAAATCAAATGATTAATTTGATTAGATTTAAGCATCAAGACCGAGAATGACCAGCACACTGTTTGAGGAAACAAGGATTCCTCCTGAGGAGCAGGCCAAAGAGGCTGGGGAGAGGGAAGTCTGGGTCTATTTACTGAAGCTGCTGCGCCCGCGAGCGGAGCCCGGAAGATAATGGATGGATGAGAGTCTAGCAACATTGCCTTAGCAGCAGGTGAAGAAGACTGCATAAGCCCGATTAGTTATGGAGTCTTTTAAAAAGTTTTCCATATTTTTGGTGAAGGATCAAATTGTTAATATTACTTTACCTTTCGGAGTAAGTTTCAGCCGAAAATGATAGCGAGGCGTTTCTGTTGAGTTATTGTAGCATTTCACCAAAAAAATTAAATAAAAAAACAGAATAGCCAAAAAATTAATCTTACTTTTAACCGTAACAATAGCCACTTCGTAAATTCTTAGTATTCACAGACTGCAGTGTAACTTTTCCAAACTTAAACACTCACCTGATTGTTCGCGCCAGCAGTGTTGTCGGAAGACGACGCCATTGTTCACTGAGGCGCAAAGCAGCACCCACGCACGCTACTTTGAGAGCATGGGAAATGACCACTTCTCACATAGTGGTTGGGAAAACTTCTCATAATTGATCAGTCACGGCGTAATTTGTACACATTACTGATTGAAAGAGGTTTAGTAACTGAGTTTATGAGTTATGCATGACATGTTCTCCAACCATTATCAAATAATACAGTGCAGGAGGTGTTTGATAAATTTTGTTTATTCCCAGGTTTTCTGAAGGTAACATGAAAAATGGGCCGTCTTCAGCCTCTAGCGGCCTGCTGTCACTCATGATTCCCCGCCCCTCTCAGTGTAGCCACGCCCACCAGGCCAAAACAGGGCCAGAAGTCTGTAACTGAAAAATACAGATCCGAAAGTGAAAAAAATAAATCTGAAGCTGAAAGAAATTTTTTGTACATTAATTAAAAAGATCTGAATGTGAAAAAATGTAATCTGAGACTGACTGGATTTAAAAAAAATAATAATTGAAAAATAAATTACTGACATTTTTTTTAGTAAAGTTTACTCAGAAAAATTCAAAATAAAAATACCATTGGGGTTTAAGTTCTTACAAATATTCCAAACGTTTGATTTTTTTTTAAATCCAAGGCTTTCTTTTTCAAAGTTCACTCTAAAAATGTGACTTTTGCTTTCAGTTTACATATTTTCGATTTCAAATTTTTCTTTTAACTACACAAACATTATGGCCCTTATTTAAGCCCATATGCAGGCGCATCAGTGAGTTTGCGGCCGCTGCGCAGGGGGAGGGGGGAGAGGGCTGAAGCAGAAACTACCGTTGTTAAAAGAAATGTGTTTAACTTTGAAAATGTGGGCGCAATTTTAATTGTCAAAAACTCCAGCGAACCATTAGTTCATTTTGCTCAAATAGAAATAGAGGCCTGCCTCTAATACTGGCCCTCCTTCCAAAAAGGCCTGGAGCTTGATGAGCTTGAGTAAAATACAGGCCCGGGCCTGTATTAGAGGATTTACGGTAATATGTAATCCATATTGGGACTTCTGTGTGTTAATGAATCACAATCACAGGTTAGTACAAAGCAAACAGGATCAAACTAAACATTTTTAGATAAAACTTATAATAACTAAGGTTTGGAGGACTTTCGGGTGTTTTTAATGAGTCGTTTTAAGAGTTTTTCACTAATGTTGCATCATCGTTGTAACTTCATGTAAACCAAACCAGCCATGTCTCTCACTGGGTCAGGAGGCGGTCAATCATATCGACCACACTCACAAACCCCTCTGCTACTAACACAGCCAGCACTGATTGATCTCACTTTCAGCTCCATAACACTGCAAAGTCCCCCCCCCCCCCCCCTCCACCACACACACACACACACACACACACACGCACGCACACACACACACAGCATTAAACATAAACTTAAAATAATTTTAGGAATCTGATTTGTCCCAATTTTAGTTTTCTCACATCTTTGATTTTTATTATCTGTTTAATTTAGTCTGAAATCGAGTTGGGGGGGGCTGCATGTTTGTGGCTCCCAGGGGCCCCGGGGCTTCCCTCAAACAAACCTCCCACATCCTCGATCCCTTTGCATAACAATGTGAGGTGAAATGTTGTGATACTAGCATGTAACCAGTAAAACGTTTCGATTTTAACGCACGAGGGAGCAGGGAGGAGAAGCGGGTTTAAGACAAAGCAAACACACCCAACGAGAAGTGATGCCAGTGTGCAACAATCTTCTCATCACGGTGCGAATATAACCACCGGAAACACGCACGAGGGATCCCAGTGAAACCAGTCCAGCAGATCAGGCCGTGCGTAAAAGCGCAAACGGGCAAGAGAAGGAAACTGAGCTGGAAAGTAGAATCAGCGGGTTGGGAAATAAAAGTACCAACCAGACTGTGGGAGTGTGGTCATGTAAATGCGTTTGTTCTATTAGATTGAGTTTGACACCTGTAACAGACTAAATCATGCCTTTGGTCACTCATCTTGCTTACCTGGTCGAAAGAAACGAGCTGCAGCCCAACAGCAGCGTCTCCAACACCAAGTCTTTGACTTTATTCTCTCGTCTGTGCGCGGAGTCTCCAGCTTTCCTTCGGGTTCCTCCTCACATGAAACTGTCTGGTTTGTTTTCCAACAAAAACAAACAACTTACATAAATCGTCCCACCGCTCCTCATCCCGGTCCGCACTGTGCCGGAGTCCCGGTCAGCTGAAGGCACTGATTCTGCTGGCTGACGTCCAGCCGAGAGCCTGGAAATTCAAATTAGTAACAACGTTTACTGCTTCCGGTGCACGTCTTCAAAATAAATGTGTAATTTTAGACTTTGTTAGACAATGAGTTCATTTACGCATTAATATTAAGTGGGTTCATGCTGCCGCACTTAGAAGCTCCGTTTTATGCAGTTAAAAGGTCGCGGGTTCGAATCCCAGCAGTCTTTCTGCATGGCATGTTCTGCCGGACATCTGATTTCCTCCCAAAAACACATTAACCTGTATGTCGCTTTGGTTATTCTATCAGCTGCAAAATGAATTATAGAATTAGTGAGATTGATATATATATATATATATATATATATATATATATATATATATATATATAGTTTTATCTTAAAATGAAAATTGTATTTGTTTTTGCTGGCAAAAATATATGATTAATTGGCATTAATACAGTGGCAAAATATATATAATTGTAATAAGACAGCGATTTGAACTTTTATTCTAGCCCAACCTGTATGGAAGTCCATATCTGCCACTTTGATATTAAAAAAAAAAAAAGTAAGAGACCTGCCATTCTGGCAAAATACATTGCATTCAGGGGACCTAAATAACATAATAACTTATTACCAATATAATTTAACGTCCATCTTGTCTTTGTTAAACTGAAGGAAGTTTGACTGCAACCAGTCATTAGCTTTTTCCAAACACTGACAGAGTGAGTTTAGGGGACCACAGGTGATAGGTAGATCTGAGTGTCATCTGCATAACTACGACAGGCAAAGTTTTTATTGTGTATGACCTGACCCAGGGGGAGCATGTAGAGGTTGAAGAGCAGTGGTCCAAGTATAGAACCTTGGGGGACCACACATGTCATGGTGATCTGCTTTGATCTCCAATAGAGATGACATAGCCTTTGTTTTCCAGATAAGATTGGAGCCAACTATGGACTGTGCCTGAAAGTCCCTCCCAGGTTTTGAGCCCATCAAGAAGGATCAAAAGCTGTGCTGAGATAGAGCATAATCAGGACAGATGTTTTACCTGAGTCTGGATTTAGACGAATATCATTCAAATACTTTAATCAGTGCAGTATCAGTGCTGTGGTGTTGTCTATGCTTACAAGGTTGTTTACCTTTAAAAGGGGGTGAATGTGTTCATTTGTCTGTTTATTTGTGCTTATTGTCATTGCATAGAGAAAAACTCGAAAATACCGATGTTCGTTGAAGCTAATCCTGCAGCCGAGGCCTGATCGCTCTCGTGTTTTAATCCCGTCTGGCGCCACATTCTGGACCGGTGAAGCCCTATTTGAAAAATTCAGACATCCCATCTGAAGCCATTTCTTCGTCTTGAACGACCGTTAAACAGAGCGCGCATACCACAATTATACCCGTGTAGGCTAAACTGTTGAAAGCATTCTAGCTCCATACGGATGTGTGCCGCAACATCACATTCCACAAGCACGAGTTATACCAGCGATTAAAGACGAAAGCCACGGTATGCTGTCTAGCTGAAGGGTTATTATTATTCGTAATTTAGACCAATTTAAAGGTGTGACAGTGTGAGCATCCTGTCACAATGTCCCGATTGATCATGCGCCCTGGCTACTTGGCCAAGGGGTTGTCCCTTTGGCTGACTGGTTAGAGCGTATGACTCTCACCCGGGAGTCTGGGGATCTAATCCCGCCCGGGCCCTTGTTTATCCACCTTGCCACAAAAGCATAGTAGCCGACCAGCTAACGTCCTTTTTAGTGGATTGAGCAGCAGCAGCAGGCCATGGTTGACTTAAAGGCTGCGTTATGCTCAGCTCTGTGCCTTGTCTCTTCTTCTCTTACCAAATTCCACCCAACCGCCCAATACCGCCACCTGTTTGCATGTTTTAATCTGGCTGCTTCATTAAATCTCATCCAGTTTTCTAAACCATTTAATCCCAATATTACGGTTTTTGTAGCATCAATTCATCAGGATGGCTGCAGACCGAGATCAATTATTGATGGATTTTCTCACTGAAATGAGAATGGAAATGAAACAGGAGTTTTCCAATTCCATTTTTGGTTCTTTTTTAAACACAGATAAGGGGAGAGCGGGCAGCAGAGGGCGACAACGTCCTCTGCTGCCCGCGGATAAACGGAGTAGGACATGACGCCACCATCAGCATCAGCTCTGAAGATGTTTGCAGCCGCAAACGAAACGTCAGCAAGGTCAAGAAAAACCTTATCTGTGTTTAAAAAAGAACCAAAAATGGAATTTGAAGACAAACAGCAAAAACGTACAAAAGATGTTTAAAGAAAAATACAGACAACAAAGAAAAAAGGACTTCCACCGTTTGGAACGTTTACACCAAAAACGTGCACGTCTTAGGAACCACCTTCGTTTCAGTTTAAGATGCCGGGATGAAAACATCTCACCAACAAGCCTACAGCTGAAAACACCGATCCGGACCAAGACAGCACAGAACATAATGGAAAGAGCACAGAGAGCACTACTCAAAGAAAGAATAAGAAACATCCCAACCAAACAGAAATGAGTGGAAAACGAACTGGAAAGAAGACACCTGGACTTAAAAAGGAATTACAAACGATGAACAAACGGAGGAACTAATTAAACACATGATGGAAAAACAGGAAAAAAAGTTAATAAAAGTAAAAGAAAGACACATAAAGAAGTTAAACAAACTCATCAACAAGAAAAGAGAGAAAAGAAATACAAGATAACGCCACACAAAGCTCATGGGTACGTAACATTTCACAATACGATTAACAGAAGCAGAAGAAAGCATATTAAAAAAAGGGTTAAACTTCGCAGTAACACCAAAGAAAATACCATATGATGAATTTATCGTAGCAACAGAACTAGCATGTCAACAGATCACAGATGAGGGAAAGAAAGCAGAACGTAGAAATAACGTAGTTGGGATATTAAAAAACAGCCAAATTCAACACTACAAAAGAAGAACAATCAGCCATGACAGCTTTATCCAAAAATGAACAGATAATTATTCTACCGGCAGACAAAGGAAGAACCACAGTGGTAATGGACAGAGAAAAATATAAACAACAGACGAAACAGACGTTAGAGGACAAAAATACATATAAAATACTTAAAAAAGACCCAACAGAAAACAGAAAAACCTAAAAAAATTACTGAAGCCACTACAAGAAAAAGGCAAAATAACAGAAAAAATGTACAAACACTTGATTCCTACGACAAACATAACACCAAGAATATATGGAATGCCAAAAATACACAAACAAAACACCCCACTTAGACCAATAGTTGACAGCATAGGTACACCAACATACAACATGGCAAAAGAAATCAGCAAAATCATCAGCCCGTTATTAGGTAACACAGATCAACACTGCAGAAATAGTACAGAACTGGCAAAAGAGCAAAAAAAAAAAAAAAAGATTACAATAGAAGATAACAAAAAACTCACCTCACATGACGTCACATCCCTGTTCACAAAAACACCAACTCAAAAAACCATAGACATAGTAGTCAACAGAATCAGACAGGACAAGACTTTACACAAAAGAACAAACCTCACAGCAGACGACATAGCATGGTAGCTAACTCCACTTACTTCACATACGATGATACAATATACAAACAACTGGAAGGCTTCGCCATGGGTAACCCGTTATCAGCCACCCTGTGCGAGTTTTTCATGGAAGACCTAGAACAAAAAGCCATAGCCACTGTCCCCCCAAACTGTAAAATAAAATTATGGAAACGCTACATAGACGACATACTGGAAATCATACCAAAAGGTATGGCCGGTAAGGACACCTAATGGTAAGTGAAGACTAACCATTGACTACAGGAAACTCAACCAAGTTCCCTTGTCTCGGTGGCCGATGGCCTGCCTGGAAAAACTTTCGATGGTGAGAGACGCAAAATACTTTTCCACCCTTGACATTGCATCTGGATTCTGGGCAATCCCAGTTCATCAGTATGACTAATATAAACTAGCCTTCACCTTCACCTTCGCCAACCACCAGTACACCTTCACACGGTGTCCTTTTGGTTACTCCAACTCACCCTCTGAGTTCAACATCTTCTTGGACAAAGCCTGCCCCGACGCTCGAGAGCGAGGTACCATCATCTACGTCGACGATATTCTGATTTGTAAATGTACTTGTACGACCACCTGTCCGAGCTGGACCATGTCATGGGTCAGCTCGCAGCTGCAAAGATCTCCCTCACCAAAGGTCAATGGTGCAGGTTGAAGGTACAGTTTTTGGCCTCCTTGTGGGACCACAGGGAGTGCAGCCTCAACATGGTAGAGACCAGGGTGTTGCCACCATCAAACCTCCTACAAATGTCTCTGAACTTCAGAGTTTTCTGGGTAGCTGCAGCTACTCTCGCCAGTTCGTAGAAAACTACAGAGATGGCGAGACCTCTGACTACCACTGCTGCCTTGCTGAAAAAGGATGTGCCTTTGGAGTGGACTGAGCAGCAGCAACAGACCATGAATGACTTGAAGGCCGCGTTATGCTCAGTTCCATGCCTCGAGTTCCACCTTGAGGTCGGGTTCTCTACCCACTGTTTGATTGCCAGTCTCCATCAGGTGGATGACTGCAACAGGCGTGTCGTAGCCTATGCTAGCAAGATCTTGTCCGGTCCTGAGTTAAAATACTCTGACTGTGAAAAAGCTTAGCTATCCACCATGTGGGTGGTTAAACACTTCTTTCACTACGTCGGTGGAAAGAAAATCATTTTTGAAACATCAGCCACCTTCCTGAACAGTGAACGCATCAGAGATGGTGTGGTGGCCAATGCACACATTGCGTCATGGCTACTAGCTCTTCAGAGTTTTGACATTGAGGTGCGCTACGCCCTCATCAGTCCTGTCAGCCAACCCTCCCCAGACCCTGCTGAACCCCAACAACCACTACTTCGACCAAGCTCTCTGTGTGGGTTTGCCAACTGTGCACGTTGATGGCAGCTCCTTTCGACACGGTGTTGAACCTAGTTCGTTGTTTGGTTACATGCTGATCAGAAAGACTCTTGGAGCTACCAATTGGGTCTTCACACCTCACAGTTTGCAGAAGTAGCTGGGATCCTGATTGTGCTACAACTGGCTGCTGAAACTTTTTTATAAGGTTGTCTCCAAAAGTTGTTCAGCTGGATCATAATGGCTTTTTCAATAAAATTCCCAATGAAAGGGAGATTTGAGAATGGTCTGTCGTTATTCATCGCTAAGAGATCTAATTTTCTTTTCTTTCGAAGAGGTTTAACAGCAGCAGTTTTCAAGGGTTTAGGAAAATATATGACATCAAGGTGCAATTGACAATTTTCAGGACATCAGCTTTCAAGAAGCTAAAACATTTCTAAAGAAGATGGTAGTCAGGGTGTCCAGACAACAGGTAGATGGGCTTAAGGTCTTAACCACGTCCTGTTAAAAGGGAGTTTTCCTCTCCACTGTCGCTAAATGCTTGTTTTGTATGAGGATTGCTTTAAAGTCACTGACACTTGTCAGTCACTCATTGCAACCTGCTTGGTTCCTCATATAGGAAACTTTTTTCTGATTGGCTTAATGAACTGACCTGTATTAGAATGTTTGTTATGTGAAGTGCCCTGAGACGACTCTTGTCATGATTTGACGCTATATAAATAAACTTGAATTGACTTGAATTAAGACTCCAGCAGCAGCATTCTGTACAAGCTGCAATTGCTTCACAGCTTTTTTGGGAACACAGTTAGGAGATCATTGCAATAATCCAGGCAACTAGAAATAAAAGCATGAATACGTTTCTCTAAGTCTGGTCTCGACATGAGACGTCTAACTCTTGATATTTGATGAATGTGATGAAACGCTGATTTAGTTATAGCCTTAATATGTCCAGAGAAACTCAGGTCTGAGTCAATAATAACACCAATATTTCTAACCTGGGTTTTTTTCTTTATCCCCCTGGAGTCCAGCTGAGCAATAACATTATTCCGTCCTTCTTGTTGCCAAAGACAATAACTTCAGTCTTGTCTTTGTTTAGTTGAAGGAAGTTTGACTGCATCCAGTTGTTTACTTGTTCTAGGCACTGACAGAGTGAGTCCAGTGGACGACAGTCACTAGGTGATAGGGCTAGGTAGATCTGGGTGTCATCAGCATAGCTATGATAGGCGACGTTATTAAGTATGAGCTGACCCAGGGGAGCATATAGAGATTAAAGTGTAGTGGTCCTAGAATAGAGCTTTGGGGGACCCCACGTCATGGTGATCCGCTTTGACTGGTAGTCACTAATAGAAAAAACATAGCCCGTCTTTGAGATAGGACTGGAACCAACCAAGCACTGTGTCCCACCAAGTTTATGAGTCTGTCCAGAAGGATGTTATGGTTCACAGTATCAAAAGCTGAACTGATCCAGTGGTGAGATAATCTCGCATTAGGGTTGCAGAAGCCTGTAAATCAACTGCAGATTGAAGTCAGGTGTGTTGAAGCAGGGGTTAAACTAAAATATAACCTCCAGGACCAGGATTGAGAACCACGGCCATAGAGGTTGTGGAAATATCTTAGTTCTTGGTTTGATAAGTATCTTGACTTTAAACATTAAACTACATAGCCTTTTGATATTAACGGCTCACATTTACTTTACAGTTTCTATACAGATTAAAATCACATTTCTTCATTGCTTATCATAAGCAACTCACATTAGTCCAGGGAAGGCATAGTGAGTAAAGAATTTTGCGTCATCTGCATACAATTAGTAAGAGGAGCTGGTCACAAATGGTTATCAATTAAAAGAGTAAGGGACCTAAAACAGATCCTTGTGGAACCCCCTTTTGCAAAATGATCAGATCATACAACACAGGACTAATTAAAAACAGAAATAATTTATCAGACATTTTTACAGTAAAAACAAACCTCTGCCCCTTTTTCCATGTAAAATGTGATTTTTCTGTTCCTTCAGTCATGTTGTTTGCCATTATTTTATTTGTGTATGTTGCATTTTGTGTAACACCCTAAAAGTTGCGTTTGATTTATAAAAGCATTTAAAAGAACTGATGAGTGCTTTATTTAAATAATATATATCTGGTGACATAACAGCTACAGAAGCAACATGGATAGATAGCCGTTTTAAAAGAAGACTCCACAATGATCCGTTTAAATCCAGTTTCTTCAGTTTTAATCTCACCAAACACATGAATCAGAAACAAGATCGTTTTACCTTCTGAGCAGCTAACAAACTTCCATTTTTTAAACAAAAACAAAATAATTTATGCATTCTTTTTTAAAATGACTATTTCTTTTACAAAAATAAAATCAAATAGAAGAACTAAGGCTTTACAGAACAAAAAAATGATCATGTATATAAAAAATGTGGGTCTGATTTCTCTATATTACATGTGAGCAAGTTTCTCTCTTTTTAAAGACAAAATTAAAATAGAATGATATTAAAATAAAAACGTGTTTATGCTTACAGTAGTTTGCACTGTGCAGGGTAGATTTGTTTGTGCAACATTTAAAAATGGAATTGATTAGTTTTAAAATATTTTCCCAGTTAGTTAGCAGGAAAAAGAAAAGGTACAAAGATGTGTGGAGGTAGAAAATAGAGACTTTAAAAGGCAGATCTAGACTCAACCAGCTCAGACTAGTGGGACTTTTGTTTCCTTTTATTTTTGTGCTAAAATACAGTTAGACGAGAAGTGTGATGTTTTTTAGTGTTCTGGTCCGAGGTGGTTGAACAATCAGCAGCCAAAACCTAAAAGAAAACAAGTGTTCCCTTTATCACCTCTGAGGAAATATTTCGCTTTGGTAAAAACTTCAAAAACCCATTTGAAGTTTGTTTTCTGCTGAGACAAAAGTCAGTCTTGTGGTTTTCGGTTGGTTTTGTTTCCCAGCTGCACTGGATAACTTTAGAGATGGTAAACACCTTTTACCAGACACACAACATGAGTTTATTTGCACAGTGGTTGTGCGTCAGAAGGCTGATGAACTCACTCCAAAGGTTTATCTGAAAAGCAGCTCAAATGAAATCATTCGGTTGTGTTCTTGCTGAGCATTGCAAGAAAATCAGTCTTGAAACAAACAGGAAAAAAAAAAAAACAAGTACCAAAATATTTAGACGAAAAAAGCAGGATTCACTTTTTAGTATGGAGTAAAATTAGTACCAAAAGAAAAGCACGTGGTTGTAGTGTCAGTCGTTCGTTGTTCATAACAATAATTAGTTTGCTTTCTGGTAAATACACGTAATTTCATATCAGGAGTTTTCAGTTTTCTTGTTTCAAGGTTTAGTATCAGACTTCCAGTTCAGTGTGTCGACGACGTATGACGGCTTGTATTTCTATAGAAACAGAGAAAGATATAAATGCCGAGGGAACAAAACCTACATTAGAATTAAATCTAAATGTTAAAGACAAATGAATATTTCATGGACAAAGCAGAAATGCTTAGAATTATATGCTGAGAAATGCAGAAAATTTTCAAAAAATTTAATATTTTCTGAATAAAGTAGAAAGATAAGAATCAAAAACCAATCCGACATTGGTGCTGCCTTCGGCTGTGTAAAAAGTAAAGTTATAATAATAATGGAAGTTCTGAACTTATGCAGCATAACACACCTGAATCTGAACTCACTGTGTGAACTTATCAGCTGTCAGGCTGCAGACGCTTAGTTTGGTTTTGACCAATCTCACAATTCCAAAACAAAACAAAAACATCAATCCTCCTCCACATTCTTATATTTGTGAGCGGCCCCCAAGTCAGCCTTCACAGATTTACAACAACAATTTAATCCCAACCGGATGAAAGGTTGGGAGATTCTAGTTCAGTCGGCCAGTTCCAGAACTCTTGGGAAGTTTATCGACACACACACCAAACTGAAAAATCCAGATATCCAAACTCTAGAAACTTCCAATTCATAATAACAGATGAAGAAAATAATCCTAAAAACGATGTGATGTAATAAGTGGAAGTTGGTTCTGTTCCTCTGATTATTACATCAGCACCGAAGTGTATTTACCAAAACGCCACACCACTGCTCAACAGCCATTTTTTTCTCCCAGTAAATGAAAGACTCTCCCAACTCACGGCTGTGAATGTGGTGAGAGATTATAAACGGGATGATCACCAGTGGGGCAACAGTTCACAGTATTCACCGTTGGATCTAAAATACAAACACACTGCTGAAGGAAGCATGGTCCAGAAACATTGGTGGGATTTGGTAGCAATTCCAGTTCTGAAACAACCTGAACTTCCCAAATTCTTCGCCTTTTTAGGCGTTGGAAGTAGTGGTGAAATAATAATAATAATAATAATAATAATAATAATAATAATAAGCACCTGCCAGTTTTTCAGTAGTAAATAGTGCCGTAGTGTTTCCTAAAATTACAAACTAAACGTTTGGAAGGACGTTTTCTCCGGTGAACAGAAGTCCTGCAGATTAACCTAAAGCAAAACACGAGTAACGAGTGTTTTAATATTCCTGCCACAGTGATTTAGTGAGTTAGGTGAAGCGTGTGTGTGTGTGTGTGTGTGTGCGTGCGACATTGGTTTCCTTACGCAGTGCAAATGACCTGAATACACAGTCCTTCTGCCGAGGCGGCAGGTAAACTTGGCTAAACGTGGCCTGAATCCTTTCATCTCCAATCGGTTTGCAGCAAGACGACAAACACAGAGAAATGCATTGTGGGTAAAGTGCTGGGATGACAGGGCCCTTGGAAAAATTCCTTAAATCCACATTTCCACGCTTTCTGCTCCGTTACTTCAACCAGCTACCAAAAAAATATATACGAGTCACTTTTCCTTTACAAGTCTCCAACTTGGTCAGTTTTTCCCAACTTTATCAATTCCTCTTTGCCGGTAAACTTCTCATTATTCCTTCTTCGTGCTTCCATCATGGCTTTCCTGGAAGTGAGACACCTTTAGTATTCCAGGGAAACCAAAACTAGGGTGAGGGGCGGGGCATCTATGGAGCTGAATCCGTTTTTTATTGACACATAGGTGCTTCAGTCGGGCACAAGTCCACCTGGTAAAGACCTCAGAATCCCGTTGACAGGATTTTGGGAGCACCTGGGTTCCCGTCTGTACCTGGTTGGGTCAAACATGAAAAAATATGAGCAACTCCACCAGACATTTGGGCTAACATCTCAGTGCTGGTGACAAACTAAAAACAGCATTCATGTTTCCAAAGTGGCTCAGAATTCTGAACCCACTAAACCCTCGGGCTTCATTAGGGACATGCTTGTCCATTTGGGCAGTTTGTTGCTTTTCTTTTGGATGCTATTTCACCATTGTTTGTGCATATGGTACAACATTTAGTCACAAAGCCCCTCTCTGGACAAGTTTTGA